ACACACAATCCACAACCCTGACATTTAACCCCAGCCTCATACCCACCACCAGCTAAAGGGGGCAGTGCCCTGGTCCTTGGTGAGTGTCCCCCAACCTCTGAATGTGGCACGTAGACCTACCTTGTGCCACTGCTCTCAGACCCGGAGGAGGAGCAGAGATAACCTTGGCAGCCAGTGAATTTGGGGAATAATTGTTTGATTCCTGGCAGATGAGCGTCCAGTTCCAGAAGAACCCTGTCAACCGCCCTGACCTTTTCTTCTGCCTGCCTCCAGGAACCTCATTCCCCTGCCTCCTAACGACTGATTCCTCTTCTCCCCTGAAGCGTCCGGGCCCTAGGGAAAACGGCTCTCAGTCCTGAGGGTCCTGAGCATTCTTCTCTGACGATGACCCACTGCTAGGACTGGTGCCTCTCCACAGTGATGCCACCCCTGCCTCTAGGCTACACTGATATTTATCCAGCTGGACCTCTTCAACCCCCATTATTAGGGCAAGAACCATATCTGTTTCACTAGCACCGAATACCCACTAACTAGTTCTATGCCTGGCACAAAGGAGGCCCTAAAATGGGCTTCCCACCCCCCGCCCGTCCAGAGTTTGAAGGCAGGGACTGGCTCTCATTCATGGCGGTCTCCCCAGTGCCTGGTACATGGTCTGCCACACAGGAAGTGCTCAGTATATGTTTGTTAAAGAAAGATGAACCGGTATTTAAATGGACAAATGAAAAAAGCCCATTGTCTCTCAGTCATCCTCCCTCCTCCAGCCTCCTTTCTGGCTGGGTATCTTCTTCTCATCTGAATCCTCTTACCATAATGTGAGCCCGTGTGCCTTTTCCCATCCACGGTGAGGATTACCCACCTTCGTGAGAACATCTCTCTGCTGCCATATAATAATAATAAAGATGCTCCCTTAGCCCTGGCCAAGTAGCTCGGCTGGTTAAAGCATTATCCTGATACACCAAGACTGCGGGTTTAATTCCCGGTCCGGGCACATACAAGAAGCAACAAATGAATGCATAAGTAAGTGGAACAACAAATTGATGTTTCTCCTTTCCTTCCTTTCTCTCTAAAATCAATAAAGGAAAATACTTTAAAAATTAAATTAATAGAGATGCTCCCTTTAGCAACCCTGAGAGCTGGAGATTACCATGCCTACTTCACAGATAAGAACACTAAATCTAAGAGAGGCGAGGGCACTGGCCTAAGGTCCTAAGGGGATGCACACTTAACCCACATTCATAACCCACGCCACCACCCTCCTGCAAAGCTGGTTGGTCTGAGAGAGGATGGTGATCTCTCTTCCTCCTTCCCTCTGGCCAGGAAATCTGACCTATTCCCACTTGAACGGGGTTGAATGACCCTGTAGACTCCTGCCCAGTGTACCCCAGAGAGGGGCTCAGACACCCATACTCACAGGGCTCCTCCTGTCCAGGCAAGGTGACCTGATGTTTTTTCACACCGTCGAACAGGAGCTCCGCGCCACCTCTGCAAAGGAGGGCCAGAGAAAGACAGCCAGGTCAGTTCCTGCACACACCTAGCTGAGAATGAAAACTGAGGAGGGGCTGGCACCAGAGCACACGAGATGCCGAGATCCAAGGTTCAGGAACACCTTGGGTACCAGTGACTGATTCCTGATGTGGTCAAGTAGGATATAAGTCATTTTTACCAATAACCAAGAATTCAATTTGCAGACTCTTGTTTTCACTCCTCTGCTTTCTCGAGGCAGCTTAGCATACAGGTTCGGGCTGGGTGCTTCCCGCCTCGAGATGGAGACCAGCCTCCACCCCTGCCTGACCCCGGGACCCCGGGCATGTGACTCCGTGTTCTCAAGCCTTAGCCTTTCCATCTACAAAATGTTGAGAAGCCACCGTGAGTCACACTGCAGACCCTGTATGTGTTGAGGGGTTTCCTCTGGCCAGGTGAGGGTTTGGAATGTCCCTGCTGTGCCAACCACTGCTGGCCTGGTGGCACACCACAGTGCTGGACGGTAAGAGATTTCACCAGGCTTAGCAATTTACAAGACCATTCTTCATCTCATTTCATCCTCAGGGCATCCCAGGGAAGGAAGAAGAGAGGCAGACATTATTGACGCCATCCAATGGAGAAGCAGAAGCCTGAAGAAGTGACGTGACTTGTCTAAAGTCACAGAGGCAGTGGATGAGCTAGGCTTTGAAGTCTAACTGGTTTCTGCTTAGCCCTGGCAGCCTTAGCAGAAAAAACACCCCCCTCCCCCAGATGTCAGAAAGCCCCTTGAGGGCAGAATTTGGCTCACTTCTGTGTGCCAACACCAGGCAAGGGAAGGCCGGCTCAGCAGAGATGCTCAGAGACAACTCCAGAAGCATGGGCTTATGATGTGGACACTAGGACTCTTTCGGGGCCCCACACTGCTTCACCCCTGGGTCTCCTGATTCCATTGCAGACTTCATGTGGAGCTTAACTGAGGCCTTAAAAGGCCTTTGACAAGATGCGAGGCCTCCCACCCTACCACTCT